ATGTTAATTTCCAGGGCTGGTACCTGCGGTTATTCCACAGGCTAGTTAATAACATGTCGGGCAGGAAATCCAAAGTGTGGGATCATTTTGAGAAGGTGAAGGACAAACCCAAGGTGATATGTAAACTCATCTTCATTGGTAGACTACAAACATGACGTATCATCTGAAACATGGAAGTAGCTACATGCCCATTAGCCCACAGCGTCATTAACAGGCGGCTCGCTCAGTGTGTAACGTGCACTTGTAGATAAAATATAGGCCTATATTAATGAAGGTTCATTAGTATGGTTTTGTATTTCTCTGTAATGTAGTTGTTTGTTGCTATATTAATGTTTGAAATCTCAGTTATAGGACCTTTAAGTACATTTTGCTTTGAATACTTCTGTACTTCTACTTGAGTAGGATTTTGAGTGTAGGACTTGCACCTCGTTTCAACTGTGTTTTGTGTCCGTATTTCTGCACAGTAAATGGAGTACACTAGTGTTCAAAGCAAGGAAATGCATCTCTTTACAGATGGATAGAGATGACTCTCATGCATACACAGAGGTATGTGGAAACAAAGTGTTACACAGATTGCTGTATTGTTACGTAAACATGCACCAATGGAAGCACTTTCAGGTTTGCACTTCAGTGTATCCCCACATACACACACACACACACACACACACACCACACACACACACACACACACACACACACACACACACTCGCTTACACGATAGACAAGACAGGACGCCAAGTTTTGAACAATGTTGTGGATTAGGTTTTAATTCTCAAGTGAATTTCAAATCAGGTTCTTCACAGATACAGAGCTTTGAAGTTTTAATAGTAGTATTCCCCCTCACTGTACAAGGCTAGAAAAAGTTCACAGCAACAGCACACAAACATACAAAATAGTTTTTACCAAATTCAGTTGTGTTGAAATTTTTTTTCTCCATTTTTTTCAGCTTTTTCTTTCTTGTTAAATACATCTGAACTCTAACCCTGGTATGATGCCCAACCATAGCAAAAAATTGATTTCAAGTCAAATGTATACAATCTTATTTACACAAGGAACATTTGATCAAAGTGCATTGAAGAGAGTCCTGATTGACGGTCATGTCTTTGAGGGATGACGGGTAAATATGTACAGTGTTTACAAATGTTGTAACCATGGTGATCCTTACATAGCTTCTATAATAATAATACTAATAATAATAATAATAATTAATAATAGTAATGAACACTGGCTGAAAAAACAGCTTGTAAGAATGCACTCCAGGAGGTACCATTGACAAAATCATAAAAATAACAAAATTAAAATTAGCAAATAAAAGAAAAGTTACATCTTAGATATTACTGCCCAAAACATGATCGTACATAAATATTCACACGTCTGAGCCCGTTGGGTCAGAGGGGCAAGAAATAAAGTTTGGATTAAATTCCCCACGAGTGCCTCACTTCTCAGAATATGGTCAAAAAAGGAGTCTCACGCTGTCACGTCAGATCCTGACAGCTCAGATCTGGTTTTAAATCCTGTCCAGCAGAGTCGATCTGTTTGTTGAGAGAAATACTGTGTCCTCTTGTAAGTTTTCCACCTCAGTTTGAACACAGAAAGCCCTGTTAGGTGATCAAACCGAGGAAATTCACAGCGTTCCTCTCTGTTGTGAAAACATGTCGGACTCCTTTAAGAGGATGGGGCAAAAAAAAAAAAAAAAAAAAGACAGGAAGCCGTGGCCCAAGAAAATTCAGGACCCAAAAAAAAAAAAAAAAAAAAAAAAATCCTTAACACTTTGGACGCATTGAGTGAAAAGAGTTATGGACACATAATTCATTGTAGTATTCACATAATAAATAACATTTCCTCAAGTCATCCTCTCCACAGATAATAACATAATGCACTTCAGAAGGCATGTGGTCGTACTGTAAGGGCTGCTGCTGCTGCTGCTACGGACAACCGGCGGCGCATGGGAACGAGGTGGCACCACGCAACGCTCCGGGTTGCCGTAAAAACAAAAACGATCATGATAAATCGTCGTCTGTGCTCACTATCGAAATCTGGAGACAGAGAAAGGGAGGGGGAGGAGAGAAAGTTGGTTTTAACAAAGGTTGTTTGTTTCCAAGAGTTGAGTAAAGAAAGGAAACAGAAGAAACAGCTAGTCTGGCTCCATCCAAAGTCTACCCACACCACTACAAAGGGTTCATACAGACATTACAAAATGGAATTTAAGGACTTTCAAGTACTTTTTACAATCAGCATTTTTTATTCTCAAAGACTTCACCAAAAGAAAATCATTAATTTTCAAATCTAATTAAAAAAAAGGAAGATGTGATCAACAGGGCTGGGTATTATTTGAAAATCTACAATACCAGTACCAACACCAGTAACCTTACAGTGATACCATTAGAGTACTTCATTTGAAGCCCATAATGTGAATGGAGTGGCGTGTGGTACAGCCAAACATTCGATGTTTTGGACTGCCAACTCTCAAATACACCATGCTTATCTTCAACACACCACAGGCTGTATGGATTGTAGGTGCTACTGTGGGAGCATGGGCTCCGCATCGGGGACAGTCGTGAGAGTCCACCCATCCATATGCACACACTGACAGGGCAAGCTGTTAGCATCACACGGCTAACGTTACCTAATGGCTTACCGACAGTCTGGGACCATTTAACAGCCTGTTGTTGGATGTTAGCTCATGATAACAGGGCAGGTGTTTAACTGACCGATTACTGCGAGGAGAATGGCTCTGGAGACGGCAGCAACAGAAAGTTTGCTGATCTGGCGGGGAGTCAGGACGGGCTGATCAGACCCCCAGTGTTAAAAGGATTGAAACCACTTGTTGTTTGACAGGAGAATTTTCTGATTCTTCCCTCAAAATTCAAGCACCTTGTGTGAACCCTGTCTACAGTTTATCAACACATCTACATCTCAGTTGTTTCATTTGCCAACAAAGGTAAATGTAAAAACAACACTTTGTCCATTGCCTTCAGTCTGTTGCAGCTGTGAGGGTGCCGGCAGAGGTGTGTGTGTCCATCTTGTGGCTCTGGCTGGGTTTAGGTTAATCTCTTTAATCTGTTTACAGAGAGATGTGTTCTGTGGGCGGCCCACAATGCACTAAGGATTACTAAAGGCCACAAGGTCTGGATGAGAGCAGAGGTCATTAACACGCAGTCCCCATCCTCCATGTCAGGATTACACTCTACAGCACCAGATTTTTATTTTAATAAATTGAAACAAAAGTGCTTCTTTTATTATTGAAGAGAGCTTGTCATTATTTTCAAGTTCAGATATTGATAACTGATTGGGAGACGTGTGTGCTTTGAGATTAGTAGGTCAATCCCGCGAGGTGTTTGCCAACCTTTCTTACCCATGATGCTCCTGGTTGTTTACTCACCGCAGGGTAGGTGTGGCCCACATTGGCACCGTGCCGGGTGATGTCGATGTTGAGGTCTTCCTCCGTGGTCTTCAGGTAAACGGGGTTGTCAAAGTTCATGCTCTTCTGGTTCTTCAGCTGCCAGTTTCTCCACATCAGGTAGCCGCCCGCTGCCGCCATTGCCAGCAGCACTGAGCAGAGGGGCAAATAAATGCAGTCAGATAACCCATAATAGGCTGTAGTTCCCACAAGTGTATTAGGGTGTATATGTGTGTTTGTATGCAGCGGAAGAATCAAACCATAAATTTCGTATCTTGTGCCTTTAAATTGCAAATAATTCCCTCAAATAATTTTAATTTCCTCCTTAAGTTTAGTAATTCAGACCAGCACATATTTTTGTTTAGATTTTACACCCTCTTGCTTTGTTCTCACCTGCTCTACAAATATTTTGTCACACAGCTGGACTGTTAGCTGCCATTTTACCATGAAAAATAACTCAAGAAAACAGTTGCAGCTAAAAGGTGGTTCATGTATTTAATATAACTTCATCTAAGCTTGGGTGTGAGTGTGTAACTACAACATTAACAAGTTAGCTGTGTTTGTTTCAGTAGATACATGATAGTCTTAGATAGATATGGAAGATATTTTTCCAGTGAAAGGAAGATTTTGGCAAGAATTCCAACTATATCCATATTTTCACGGACACAAATTACTGCTACACATAAACTTAAGTATACTGATAGCACAAAATAGTACGAAATAACTTCAGATTGGTATTACAAACTTAAAGGGATAGTGCACCCAAAAATGAAAATTCAGCCTTTATCTACTCACCCTCATGCCGAGGGAGGCTCAGGTGAAGTTTTTGAGTCCTCACAAAACTTGCGGAGATCCAAGGGGAGAGGGGGTAGCAACACAACTCCACCTAATGGAGGCTTA